CAGCGGCCCGGGGCTGGACGGGCTCTCGGATACAGAGTTGGACCGTGGCTCTCCACCATCTTCCTGTGGGGTGGGGAACAGGGAGCAAGTGTGAGCAGGGCAGCTCCAGCCCTGGGGTTTGGGAACAGCCCCCGGAGTTGTGAGACCCACCCAGGGGGGCCACAAAATCTGTCCCCCACACACGTAATTCCCTGCAAGCTCCAAGCTCATAAATACCTCCAGTGCTGCCCATCCAGGGCGGGGAAGGATTAAACCCCAGCCTGACTGCCCCGGCTTTAGTGGGAGGAGGAGGAGGAGGAGGGTGGCTGCAGGGCTGGATGCTACTTCCCTGCAACAGCACAAGGGCTCCCAGCCCTGCAGCTTCAGGAGAATTGAGGAGGAGGAGGAGGAAGGCGGCAGGCATTGCAGCCACCGCCATGACATTCAGCCCCAACAAGCAACCCCCTTCCTGGGGAGCCCCAGCTCCCTGTCCCCTTCCCAGTGGCATCTGCTCCTGTGCAGCAGCCTGGGAGCACTGCAGTCCCTGGTGGCATCACCCACCCATGGGCAGGGAGGACCCCTAAACAGGCAGGATTCCTGCCTGCAGACTGGCACAGATGGGATTAAAAGCAAGATAAGGCTCTCTTACCTTCCCTATGTCACCATTGGCAACTGGTTCTGGCAAGGGACCTGCAGGGCGAGGATACGGATGCCGGGTGAGGAGGTGTTTGCTCTTCCCCCTCGCTGAGGGACACAAAGGCTGCGCATGGCCAGCGCTCACCCAACACTGCCCAGGGTCTGCCCAGGCGACCAATTTTTTAACCCACCCCTCGCAGCCAGCCCTGCAGCATAGGGGGATGCTGCTGGGCACCAGGCACATCCCCATGATGACAGCCATGACACACAGCCCAGTGAGACCCCCTCCCCATCCTCCCGGGGACCACTGTGACAGCAGGGAGGTGGCCACGGCAGAGCCGAGGCTGCAGAGGACAGCGAAAGGTGGCTGCTCCCTGTTTGCTCCCCAGGATGTAAATGTTGCCAAAGTGCAACCTGGGGCCACAAACCCACCTAGCCCCACCACCCCAGCATGGGGCCCTCAGCCAGGCAGGGAGATGCCAAAGCCAGGTGACCCTGCTTGACCCCAGGGTGATGAGACCTCCACCTCCCAGGGCTTGGGGACTCCCCCAGCACCCCCTAGGTTTGGTGACACAGAGCCACAGAGGTGGCGCAAACCCCACTCCCTGCAGCACAGCCCCCAACCCACCTGCCAGGTGCTCCTCCGAGGGCACCACCTTGCACTTCTTGAAGAACTCATCCGTGAGGATGTCCACCACCAGCAGCCTGGTCTCGTCACCACTCGCCTTGATGGCTGCCACCACATCGGCATGCTGCTTGCCCTCCATGCACACCCCATTCACCTGCAGGCATGGCACCACGTCACCACGGGGGCCAGGGGACATCTGTCCCTTGGGAGCTCCATGGAGGGGCCGGGTACCAGCCTTGGTACCAGTCACAACCCCAGCTCAGCCACCCCACAG